GACAGGGTGATGAAAACGCCGATATCCACTGTAAGGGAAATAAATTTTGATGTTCCCGTTATTCCTTTGAAATTTTCAGTCTTTTGGCCGTGGTAGACAGGAGAGCTGCCCGGGTGTTTCTCGTTTTGTCTACAACAGGACATCTCTCGCTGTTTCCACTGCTTTTTCAGGCCCAAGGTAAAGAGAAAAATAAATCTTTTTATATCCTGAAATAAACGGTAAGGCTCGATTCCTTGAAGAATGGCTAGCCCACGGTTAGCCACACTTTGAGGGGCCTCTGACCTATCTTTTTGGAATGTTGCTGGAGAAAATTCTAGCCGTATAACTTAGGGTAGGCTCACTTGGCACAGGACAAATCTTCGACCTGCTAAAAAATATGAACGGACACTTTGTTTACACAGAACCGTTTGTTTGAACCGCGAAACTTTAAACAGCTAGGCGTCGAAAATTTGTCCGTTGCTATGTGAACGTAGACTAATACTTCTTTTGTAATGCATTAGTCATTTATATCGGCGTAGTTATCGCGGTAGCTGAAATAAAAGGTAAGACCCGGTTCCTTGAAAAATGGCTATCCCAGGGTTAGTCAAATTTGAAGGGGCCTCTGACCTATCTTTTGCGGATGTTGCTCGAGAAAATTCTAGCCGTATAACTTAGGGTAGGCTCACACGGCACAGGACATATCCTCGACCAGCTAAAAAATATGAACGGACACTTTGTTTACACGGAACCGTTCAATAGGCTTTTCAAACGTTGGATAGTGCTATCCACAGAATAAATCACTATGCAGCGGATAGCATAATTGCCAATAATACTATCCGCTGGATAGTGATTTATGCTGTGGATAACGCTATCCAGCTTTTGAACAACCTGGGCCTGGACTTTTATCTTTCAAATCACCTTTTTTCAAAGTAGATGCAATTGTTGATTGACAATTTTAATCCTGGATTAGCTTTAATTTGGCCTTTCAGGAACGGGGCGGGCCCTGTACGCTACGTTTACTAATACGGTGACTGGTCCCTTTTTTTCAGAAAGCCCAATTAAAGTTTGTTTGATGTTAATGTTCACAATTTTTTCGTTTTATTCTCTTTGTCTTGTCCACTGGTAAGTTATCTCTTCTCTTTTTTTTTTTCTTGTCCTAATACCGTTCCCCGTGGACGCCATCGGACCATACCGTGGGTATCAAAGGTTTTTCTCGCGTGCAGCGGGATGCTTCAGCTGACACATCTCCGTCTGAAGGACGAAAGTCGCTACCGGAAACCGCGCATAAAAGTCTTGAGCTCCCAGGGTATCATAACCAGCAATAACGAGAAATTGTCAGCAAGCAAATTGACGTCATCGAGTTTAATGACCACGGATGTTACCTTATTGATACGTTGATTAAGTGCCACGGATCCGCAACAAAGTCTGGAAATATTTGTTACCAAGTGATCATTTACAACCTGCGTAGCACGCGCACGAGAAAGTTTGAAAGAAAGAACGGCAGTGCGAGAGAGGAGGACTCGCGCATGTCCGTTTCTCTCGCGCATAACTTACCCCACTCGCCGTAGTTCGTTTGTGCCCGCCACGCAGGCTAAGTGAACACTGGCTTGGTTTGAGTTTAACTCTTTAAGTCCCCTTTAAGTCCTTTAAGACACCGTTTAATGTACGTATTTGCCCTCATTGCAGTGGGGAATCCTCTAAGGATTACACTACCACGGAGCTGTTCACATTACCCATAGTCACGTGGTACGAGGCCTGTTATCTTTACGGGTTGCTAGTTCTGGAGTTTTACTGCACCGCTGTTCATCCTGTAACTGTGCTTTTGCCACAAAGTTGCCTTTTTCTGCCTCTGATGCTGACTTCTGTGTACTGCGCAGTAGGAGTCGTTTGGGCGTGGCTTTTTTTTTACGTGGACACGTTAAGAGGGGTCGCACAAACAACGATGAACCCACCAGGGTGGTAACTTTGAAACCAGCTGCACCAGGGAAGAAAACGACCAGAAAGAAACAATGAGTAGAAACGTTTGATATTAATATGATATTAAATACCTTTAGATTCGAGGACGAGAACGACTACCAATACGAGATTTGACTGAAAGGTTTCTCGCGTATTCTCAAAAATAGATACCCCGAAACGCGTTATTGTACGTTTTACCAGAAATTTAACGCTGTTATCTTTATCGGAGGAGGTTAAGCCCTCTCCCGGTCGCAAAATAATAAAAACTTTAACATTTGATAACTTATTTCCGCATTTTCGCCACCATGATAGGCTTGGATAAATTTTGCCGGCAGAAGTTCGAGCAGAATAGGTGATTTTTGAGGCGAGCAATCTGCTGGCAGAATATGGCATTTTCGAGCAGAATTTGAGCAGAATGAGGGAAAATCAGAGGCGCTAATGATATACATAACAGTTGTAAGAAAAATTTAAAACTAAATAAATAAAACAATTGGAAAATACCTTGTGATTAATTTGATTGTTTAATAGCTAAAACGCACTCACATTAAAAGAAAGTCCCCGTCCACACGTATCCGTTTTCATTTGAAAACGCAACTTTTTCTCTACGGATACAACTCCGTCTACACGTATCCGATGAAAACGATCAATGAAAACGGAAATTTTTGAAAACTCTCTCCAGAGTGGAACTGTTTGAAAACGCTGTTTTCGCGTGTACGTGTAGACGAAAACGGAACTTTTCGAAAGACGCTGAGGTCGTCGTTTTCTAGGTCGTAGGTCTTCGTTTTCTAGGTCGTCGTTTTCTAGACACCCGAAACTGGGTAGTTTCGGCTCGATTTACACAGCTTTGATCAAAACATTCTCGGTTTCGAGAACAGTTTATTCTAAACCATAAGAAAAGATTTAATTAGAAGTTGAATTTTTCGCTATTTCTCTTTCACTTTTTACATTCAGTTCATTTTATTTGCCGGAAAGCAAGCCTCAGAAATTAAAAGGACGTTTGATCGATTCACGCTCGCGCATTCTAGTCTTATTTGAAACTTTATAACGGAATGACATCTGTGAGCAGGGAATAAGTCAGCACAGAATTTGATTGTCAGCGAATGTCTGTAATCGTCCATCGTTCTGCTAGTGATAAGCTAGCCGTTGTTCACTCGTCTTGCTTGTTTGGGGCTGAGTCTTATTCCGGTCAAAGAGAGAGAAAGAGTGTCTGGCAAGGTTTCTTTGTAGAATATACAAAGTGACTTTATGGCTAAATTTTTCTTATAACTGTGGTGTAAATTTATTGCAAATTTTGCATTTATATATACACCCCCTAGATCGGCGGATCGCTAGATCGGTGGATCAGTAGATCGGTTGATCTGTAGATTGCTAGATCGGTGCAGGCGCGTAGCGTCCATATACGCACGTACACCCGTGCGTACAGCAGAGATCTGAGAAAAGAGTTTTCTCATTAAATTTGCTGGCTAATAATTTCATATTTTCACATTATACTGGCGTTTTTTATCAGAATTCCCATTATCCAAGCATTAATCATTCAGTGCTGGCCACTAATAATGGCAAAATGCATTTGAGTGGCAAGCAAAAATAGGAGAAACGCCTCATGTGCCCCTCCCTCAAGGTCAGCCAGCCTCACCAGTTTCCCCAGCCCCGCAGGTATTCTTGAAGGAGAGGTTACTATGCCATGACGTGTGGCTTCAGAACAAAACGTATTTGCCGTCAACGGAGATTAGGAATATACTTGTGAGGTCAAACAGTGAAGCCCCAGTCATTGATTTTCCGAAGAAACTGTTAGAGAATCCTATGAATAATTCTGCGACTTGAGGAGCGTGATCACTGGCTTCTGTAGTGTTTTCGTGTGTTTCGTGACAAAGAGTACACGCATATGGCTCGAAAATCGATACACGATTACTTCAACGTAATTAACAAGACAACTGAACAACGTGCAGAAGGAGCTGAAGGAAAATTCTGAGGATGAGGTTAAAACCGAAGTCACAAGATGGAAGCACAAATGGAGTGGCATGGATCCGAATGTGACTCAGACGCCGCAAACTTTGGTTGAGACTCTTGACCACGCAAACTCCCAATTTTATCCCGGTGTATATGTTGCTCTCGTAACATTGTTAACTTATCCTGTGTCTACATGCACTGCCGAACGTAGCTTCAGTAGCATAAAGAGACTAAAATCTCCTCTGTGAAGTACAATGACGGACGAAAGATTAAGCTCCCTAGCAATCCTTCATATACATAAACATAAGAACGTGGATATTGACAGGTTGGTAACGGAGTTTGCCCGTCTTATCGCCCCATGTAAGGTAATCCGGAATCCGGAATCCAGGTAATTTTGGTCTGTGGAATCCGGAATCCACGGCTTTGGAATCCGGAATCCAGCTAATGGAATCCGGAATCCAAGCACTGTAATCCAGAATCCAGGTTGCTGGAATCCACTCTGTGGTGATGGTTCCAGGGCCTCTTCTTTTCCTTTAGCGACTGTTGCGTGAAAATCTCATGTCGCAAGGACGCGCAACAGGCATGTTCACGCGTGTTTCCCTCGCAGGAACATCCCTTGTCATTGTGACATATCGGGTATCAATTTGAAACAATGGTCACATTATAATGACAGAATCCCAGGGAGTGATTCATATTACTGTATATTATCGCTCTTTATAAGACACCCTTTCGACCGGGCCTTTCGACCTTTTTCCCTGCTGCGCTTTTGGAGTCGGAGGTTTAGATTCTTTTCCTGTTTGGGCGCAATTGGAACTAATTTTTGGATTTCGGGTAACGTCAAAAGAATAATAATATAAAGTATCCTTATTCTTGGCCGTAGTATCAGTAGTCGCTGTGGTTGCAGTTACTGGCTTCTTTAATTTCAGGCACATGTCATCAGTGTCACTCAAAGAATGACATGCTGCACGTGGTGTCACGTGGTGTCTTTCATTCAGTCCAGATTCAATCAGTCGAAATCAGACATCTCGAGAGATCACTTTGAATTTTTTCTCAATCGATCGTTATCAATCTTTGTCAGCATGGGGAAGCACAAGAAAAAGCATGACTCGGAAAGGTACGTGACGTCTATAAATTCGCTGACTGCGATCCCAAGCAAAAGAGCTTTATGAATTCCATGCTAGCAGACAGGGCGGCACCCTACCAAGTCCCTATTCCTGACTGCCCACACAACATCAAGTCAGTACGTTCTGTAGAGTTTTGGCATTGGATTGACATTGATGGATACCTAGTGCTACGTGAGAATACGAAGACATCAAGAAATCAGTTTCATTGAAAGCAGTTCGAAACAAAGATCGGATGGATGTAGAAACAGCAGTGGAGATTCACGGAAAGAGATTCAAGATTCCATTCCAGATGAAAGAGTGAGCACAACATTAGTTCCAGAACTGGAATTCAAGCACTGGAAAAAGAACGGGCCTCTCTTTTAAGCTACCCGGTAGGATTGGCATTCTCCCCAAAGCGTAGCAGGCTGTTTATTACCGATAGACATCTCCATGCAGTCTTCATGGTTGACATGCACTGTCCAGAAAATGTCACATTAATCGCTGGTGGTGGTGAGCCCAGGCACACTAATGGATATGGCAACAAGGCCAGATTTAGAAACCCAACTGGTATTATGTGAAAGAGAGCGGAAGCTGTACATTTGTGACCAAGGAAACGGAAGAGTTAGAGTAGTCAATTTGCGAACGCTTTTCTGTCACGCTTCCCAGATTGTACAAGGGAGCGGAAGAAAGCCAAAGTGAGGAAGAAAATTGCGCGTAGACGTATCCGTAAAGTCCATGTACACGATCTTTCCTTATTTCTGAAGGTAATGTACCGGATCTGGTGTCACCATTTGCCATATGTGCGCCTGCAAAGGGTAGCGTTGAACTGTTTGTGTCAGACGTTGGTCTTGGCAAGATTTTTTCAATTTCTGGTGTTGTAGACGATGAGGAAACCAATCAAGCGCTTTGCCAGTTAAATGAATTGTTTTGTTTTGATCGATATAGTTCATTAACTTCATTAGCCTTAACACGTGATTTCGAGCAATACTTGTTAGGTGGAGACGGAATGGTCCATGTATTCATCTTTGTCAAGTGAGAGGACGATTGAAACTGAGAACAATTTCGAATATTCCAGGCCTCATGGGTATTGCAGTGACAGATGGTGGAACCGTGTTCTTGTCCTCCAGCAAAGAACACGCACTGTTCAGTTTGAAGGAAGAAGAGATGCTTGGGGGTAAAGAAACCCAACAAAAGTGTCTGGAGAAACTGCAGGCCATCGTGATGGTGTCCAAAGTCGATGGAACAAGCCTACTGCTTTATGCGTATATCGAAACACTGTTTTCGTATGCGATACCGTAACGTAGCAATAAGAATGTTGACGTCCAGCAAAGGGACTGATCCCCTGCAAAGTAAGATGGCCCAATATGCAAACGTGTTCCGACTCGACAAGAAAGCCAAAGAAGAAGACCTACCACGTACATTTGAAGATCATGTGAAATCTGTCGAGGAGTTGGTTGCATTTCTCTCTAACCACGAACAGGAAGCCCTGAAGAGGACGGGCAAGCGAAATACCAACGGTCCCGACATGACCATACCTCGATGCACCCGACAGTCCTTCCTCATAGTGCTAGAATCGCTGACCAGCCTTACCAACACGCTAACGGAGATTGGGCGTAGTCACCTTCTGGACAGGATCTGTTTCGAAAGTATGACAACTTTGGGCGTGGAATGCTATTTCAAAGGAATGCGAGCAGACCGCGCGACATGCCTACAGTGGCTAACTACGCTTACAGAAGAGGCGCTGCCATGGAAGACGATATGCTGCGCATTTAACAGAAGAATTTCTCATATTTCACTGGGCCCAATTCATATTATCCGGAGAAAATTATCAAAGGTGAACCCCCAAACATCAAGACGCAACCAAACAAGCTGTCAGCAATCACTGAAGGAACAGGTAGCAAAGAAGAAGACACAAGGCGAGAAACTGTGATGCGAGAATTTGCTAAGGAGTATGGAAGAGGCGTAAGACAGGAAAATGTCCGCTCAAAAACGAAAGAGCTAACTGGCACTCTTCCTTATGCCCTTAGTATGTGTCCCACTACCATCACAGCCTCATTAGAGGAAAGCGAAGGCGAACAACAGCTTGCCAAGTTGTGGATGCTAATGTGGCATTGCGGAGTACGCTGTCGGTGCAAACCATTTACCAGAAAGACGACATATTGGCAGTAAGACACAACCGTAGAAGAGATCTCACCCTTCTGGCTAGCAGTTCTTCTGGAGGATGTACAAATAGAAGTGAATGGTGGAAATTTTGTGCAGCAAAGAGTATCCCTAAAGTGGCTAAACCAAACAAGTGATTCACTAACATACACCTCCGGTGATGTCTGTAATGGAATTCCCCAAGTGCATTCTAACCCGAGTACTCGACTTTTCTTTCGATGGATCAGACATCATTTTAACAACAGAGGAGGATAACAGGCTCTGTCGAATTGCTAATGGAGACCACGGTGACGATGATGACAATGAGAATGAAACTGCACCACCAACTGCAGAGGATGAGGAGAAGTATCCTCCC